CATTTTGTACAAGTTTTTGTGTGGCCATGTTTTAATTTCTCTTGGAGTATATACCAAGGAGTGGAATTGCTGGTCATATGTAACTATATATTTAACCTTTGGAGAAACTGCCACACTTTTAGTGTTTGTAAGCTTGTCTATTTTACAACAGCTATAGCATGCATATTTTCTCACTAGATACTTTCTCACTTAGAAACTGATTATGCACTTAAATTTGACATTTATTTATATTTATAGATTTATGGGGTACCTGTGCAGATTTGTACATGGCTATATTGCATAGTGGTGAAATCTGGGCTTTTTGTCTAATCCTCACCCGATTAGTGTACATAGTACCCATTAGGTAGTTGCTTGTCCTGCAGCCCCTTCCCATTCTCCCACCCTCCTGAGAGTCCAGTGTCTATTATTCCACTCTCTATGTCCACATGTACTCATTATTTAACTTCCACTTATAAGTGAGAACATGTGGTATGTGACATTCTTTTTCTCAATCATTTCACTTAAGATAATGGCCTCCAGTTTCATGCATGTTGCTGCAAAAGATATGATTTCATTCTCTTTTATGGCTGAGTAGTATTCCATGGTATGTGTGTATATGTATTTTTTTCTTTATCTAATCATTGGTTAATAGACACTTATGTTGGCCAGGCGCGGTGGCTCACGCCTGTAATCCTAGCACTCTGGGGGCCGAGGGGATGGATTGCTCAAGGTCAGGAGTTCGAAACCAGCCTGAGCAAGAGCGAGACCCCGTCTCTACTATAAATAAAAGATTAATTGGCAACTAATATTATATAGAAAAAAATTACCGGCATGGTGATACATGCCTGTAGTCCCAGCTACTCGGGAGGCTGAGGCAGCAGGATTGCTTGAGCCCAGGAGTTTGAGGTTGCTGTGAGCTAGGCTGATGCCACGGCACTCACTCTAGCCTGGGCAACAAAGTGAGACTCTGTCTCAAAAAAAAAAAAAAAATAGACACTTATGTTGATTCCTTATCTTTGCTACTGTGAATAGTGCTGTGATAAATATGTGAGTGCAGTTATCTTTTTCATTTAATGATTTTTTTTCCTTTGGATAGCTACTCAGTAGTGGGCTTGCTGGATTGAATAGTAGACGTATTTTTGGTTCTTTAAGAAATCTCCATACTGTTTTCCATTTTCCATAGAGGTTTTACTAATTTACATTCCCACCAACAGTGTATAAGTGTTCCCTTTTCTCTGCATCCTTTCCGACATCTATGTGTTTTTGACTTCTTAATAGTGGCTGTTCTACTCATATTAATATAAGATGGCATTTCATTGTAGTTCAATTTGCATTTCTCTGATTAGTGACGTTGAGCATTTTTTCATTTTTTTTGGCTATTTGTATGTCTTCTTTTGAAAAATGTCTGTTAATGTCCTTTGCTCACTTTATAATGAGGTTATTTGTTTGTTTCTTGTTGAGGTGTTTGAGTACCTTATAGATTCTGGATATTAGTCCTTTCTTGGATGCCTAGTTTGTGAATATTTGATCCCATTCTGTAGGTTGTCTGTTTGCTTTGTTGATGATTCTTTTGATTTTTAGTTTATTTAAATCTAATTTGTTTTGTTTTTATTGTGTTTGCTTTTGGGGTCTTAGTTATAACTATTTTCCCTAGGCTAATATCCAGAAGAGTTTTTTTCCCTAGGTTTTCTTCTAGAATTTTTAGTTTCAGGTAAGTCTTTAATCCATCTTGAGTTAATTTTTGTATATGGTGAGAGATAATGGTCCAATTCATTCTTCTGCACATAGCTATACAATTTTTGAGCACCATTTATTGAATAGGGTGGCCTTTCCCCAGTGTATGTTTTTGTGTACTTTGCCGAAGATCAGTTGGTTATAGTTATGTGGCTTTATTTCTGTGTTCTCTATTCTGTTCCATTGATCTATTTTTCCATTTTTATACCAGTACCATGCTGTTTTGGTTATTGTAGCTTTGATGAGTTTTTCATATTTGAGAAAAGTGAAATATTCCAGGTGCCTTGTGGCATGAGAGTGGAGTTTTCCCACTTTTCGCAGATGTTTCTCAACTGACCTCTACCAGGTGGTTTCCTGAAGTTTCTCTGGAACTAAAGAAGCCAACTCTTCCCCGTGCTCCTTACTCACTTGCTCCTAGCTTATACTTCTATTTTTGTTTGTGAATTTGTAATTAAAACCCTTTTCCATAAATTAGTTGTCAAAGTGATGAGGTTATAGCCAGAACACATTTCTAAAATAATGGAGATGCTATATGACTGGTCCCAGAAGATTTAGCAGTGTGGGGTACATTAGAACTTTTAAAGTGTTTACTAGGTTACATCTGCTATTTACTTTAAAGAGCAGAAAACTCTGCACAGTTGAAGGAACATTGGACACCTGTTGTATGCAAGGACCACTTAATACAAAACATGACACAGAATGGAGAGTGCTGTCACCAGTTAAATGCCATGGGATGTATAAAGCAATGAAGAACTAGAGGCAGAACCTCAGAAGGGGCTAAGGTGGGGGTGGGGAGGTGTTGATTTTCCTATGTGAGGAGAGGCAGATCACAGGAGGCTATGCTGGTGCAGAGTTTTGGGCCTGATTTTCAGGTTTTGGTTTTCTAACTTCTGTGAGAGTCCAAATTCTTCCCATAGCTCCTGTCACTGAGGCTCAAAGCCTTGGCATTCTTCCTCCATGACATTTCCTATCTCTAGTATGACCTTTGATTCTGTCTTTTCAAGATCTCATATTTGACTCTTCTTTTCCATTCCCACTTCCACCACCTTGGCGCAGGTCATTTCTACTGCTTGGATTAGTGCAATCATCTCCTGATTTGCTTTCCCAGCTCTAGTATTTCCCTACCAATGTCTCCTATAGGGTACTGTTGTTATCTCGGCTGGGCTACTTTTTTGTTCTCTAGAACTTTTGCACGTTACAAAGTGTCACATGTCCATGACCTCCACTGTAGAATATCAATAGTGTCTCCACAGTCACTGGGACAAACTAAAATGCCAAACACCATTCCAACAGCCCTGGGGAATGAGAATGTCCCCAGTCTGTACCTACCACCATACTAGAATTTCCAAAGTACAGCTTCCAACATCACTCCTCCTCCCCATTTAAAAATCTACCATAGATTTCCACTGACAATAAGAGAATGTCTAAAATGTTAAACTGTTAACCTTGTAGTTTTACTTCTCATTTTTCCCTTGCTTAGATCCTGTATTCAAGTCAAGCTGGACTCTGTGCTAATTCCCAAGCACTCCCTGCACTTCTCAGCCTGCCTGCATTCCTTTAGGACAGACTCTGCAATTAGATGGCTCTTTTCTCCATTTCTCTGATTCAACGTCCCATGTGCTTTCTTACATGTAGTTGAAATGTTAATTCTACCATGAGTTTTCATTGGCATCTCCAATGATGCCCTGTCCCCCAGAGAGAAGTGATCTTTTCTTATTCTGAACTCTGTAACTTTTTTTTTTTTTTTTTTTTGAGACAGCGTCTCACTCTGTTACTTGGGCTAGAGTGCCGTGGCATCAGCCTAGCTCACAGCAACTTCAAACTCCTGGCTCAGGTGATCCTCCTGCCTCAGCCTCCCAAGTAACTGGGA